AGAATGTGCTGGAACCTGTGATGAACGGACCTGTTGCGGGTCTCGTGGAGTTCCTCAGAGTTAGAGGAGTGTTGAAGCGAGTGGTTGCATGTCCAACGTGCTCTGTTGACATGGTATGCAAGCCATACACCCGCAACAAAGATGGAATGGCGTTCAGGTGCTACAACCATGATTGTAGTGGATAATCATTAAGGTGTGCTGTAAATGGTTTAATAACAACACTCAAGTGCAGATCATGACCGAGGTGAACCTTAACAGGAAGGTCGTTATGAAAATAATTGACCGTCTGCGCACATTTTACTGTTTAAATGTGGCAGAGAATCCTGTTAAGCTCGGCGGGGATGGTGCTGTGGTCCAGATAGGCGAAAGTCTGTTCAGGCACAAACAGAAGTACCATCGAGGCACACTCTGTTGCAAAAGTTTGTGGACAGCCATAAACTCCTTGATGTGCTCGCTTTTACTGCCCTTCTGGCACAGGATAAACTTTTACGTTGCTCTTTGTTGTTTCTTTTTGTCTGAACTTGTATGATTCGATAGTTGGATATATAGGGGCTAATTTCCAAAAACAATACAATTTTTGTTGCAAAAGTTTGTGGAAAACGTCATATCAGTAATATTAATAAATAAAGATTTTCCCTCGCATTTGTTTTAAGGCTTTTTAGGTCTAAACTCCCATGGGTAGCAAGGAACAACTATCTAAGGACGAACAAGATATCATTTTAAGAATGATCAAACTGAACCATACAATTGAGCAGATCTGTCGCGCAACGGGCAGATCAAAGGCTATAGTGTATGCCGTAAAGGCTAGAAATTGTGTTCAGGACCCAAAGCCTCGCTCTGGCCGTCCAACAAAGCTTACAGCCAAGGTATTAAGATCGGTGGTCAAAATAGCCACGCGAGAACATAAGACTACGCGAGCTATAGCACGCGAACCACACCTTAATGTGCATTATTCGACTGTGTATCGTGCTATAGTGAACGATGGTGGCTGTAAGTGGACCAGAAGACTTAGATCACCACCATTGGATATTGAAAAACGCAACGCTCGAAAACAGTTCGCATATGATCATGCGCATTGGGTTGCAGAGTGGCGGAGTATCATCTGGAGTGATGAGAAAAGGTTTAAACTAGACGGACCTGATGGCATGCAGCACTACTGGCATGCCATAGACAAGGAAAGAGAGTTTTATCGATCACGACAATATGGTGGCGGTAGAATCATGGTTTGGGGTGCCTTTACAGGTTCAGGTAAACTCTTCCTGGTGTTCATTACTATCAGGATTGATGCTGCTGAGTATATTAGGCTGATGAAACGTACAATTATCAGGCACATTCATTCTAGTGATCAACATATGCTCTATCAGCAGGATAATGCCTCGGTCCACACAGCTGGAAATGTGAAGGAAATGTAGGAAAGGGAAGGTATTGAAGTGCTCGATTGGCCTGCCAACTCCTCGGACCTGAATCCTATTGAGAACCTGTGGGGCTGGATGGCCAAACGAGTCTACGATAAGGGAAATCGTATGATCGAATTGATCAGTTGAAAGTGGCTATCCAAGAAGCTTGGGATGCAATTCCACAGGTTTTTAATGGATAGTTTGGTCTTGACAATGCCCAAGAAGATGTTTGCCGTGGCATAAAAGGCTGGGAAGAAAACTAAATACTAATTCCACAAACTTTTACAACAAAATATTGATCATTTTTTATCAACCCTTCAAAAACTAATAGATCAATAGATACGTATGTAAAAATGTCTATTATGTATTTAATATATAATATTTGAACCTGAAAACCCAAGTTTCACAATCTATCATGACTGTTCAGAATATATACAGCTGTCCACAAACTTTTGCAACAGAGTGTAGACAGCCAGGGCGTGAGATCTGGGTATTTGGACTGGCTGATGTGTCCTTTACACCAGCTAAAATCTCATTGCACGTGGTAGATGATCGTAAAGCCTCCACATTGCTGCCTATCATTGAGCGTGTATGCCTTCCAGGCACCATCATCAACAGTGATGAATGGAGGGCATACATGGGCATATCTGATAAGCTCAGATTCACTCATGAGACTGTTAAACACAATGAGAGCTTTGTGAACCCAGTTACTGGCACCTACACTCAGAATATTGAGTCAACGTGGAATACGTGCAAGTACAACATCAAGATGCACAAAGGCATTCTTGGTGTTAAACTGGATGAACTGTTGTGTGAGTTCATGTGGAAGCACAATACTGGGAAAAGAATGGGCTTGATAGCATTATTTGAGCTTCTTAGGATCCAATAAATCACTCTAATTCATGTTTTTATTTTTACTAAGAAAACTCCATGGGGAAAAAAGGGACCTTAAACTGAAATGGGGAAAAAAAGGGACTTGATCCCGATTCAGAATACAAAAGCAATAGTAGTATTGTGTAATTAAAGTATGTCAAAAAGTAAAACGTAATGATAATGTAAAAATTCAACAGAATACATAAGTGTAAAATGAATTTATAGACCAAAAAATCATCTTTAAAATATATAAATAATATATAAAAATGTGTGCAAATAATGCCATTTAAAAATTATTTATTGTGATATAGCGTTGAAATCTATAAATGTTTATTTATTTAAATATAATCAATCTTATAACATATCCTTTTTAGTATTGTAATAATTATGTTTTTATATTATTAAAATGCTATAAGTATGTTTAGTAATTGCACTTTAAATTTGAACTCTTAAAAAGTGAAACTTTTAGTAAATATATTTTTACAATAATGGTTAATTATATTGTTGTGTTCAGCTGCTGAGCCATCTTGCTCTTGTGCCTGAATACTCTTTTTAGTTGTAACCATTTACTTGATAAGGGGTTCTGCTAAACCCTTCTATTTATACCTGTTGGTTGTCTACAAACAATTAACATATCAGTCACATATTGTTTTGATTCTTGACAGGTTGATGTGATAGAGTCCTGGTATCGGGCTCACACAACATATATGTTTACATTTATGCTTGAATGAAACATATGACTTATATTAAATAATATTAGGAATTATTCGTTTCATACTCTA